AAGGCAGACGCTTAACAACTGAGCCACCCAGGCGCCCCTCCACAGAGAGATCTTTTTAAATGCTCATAAGATCATGTCTCTGTCTTTATTGAAACCTTCTGGAGACTTTTGAGCACACTTAGAAAAAACCCACACTCGCTGACACCTGCGTTCCCCACTAACCCTCACCACCTGCACTCTGCCCCTTATGCAGTAAGTTCTCTCGCTCTGGGACCTTTGCCCCAGTTCTTCCCCATACCTGGAAAGGCCTTTCCTCGATCTTCACACAACACGTCCCTTCTCATCATTCAGGGTCATTTCAACATCATTTCCTCAGACTTTCCAATCTAGCCATCCTGTCACTTGCTATCACATTATTCTACTTGAATATTTTAATCTTCTGCATAACATTACCATCAGCCGGTATTTTTCTTCCACATTGATCACCTTGTGTTTATTGTCTTCCCCTACCGGGTGATTCAACTTTACTGCTAACTTGGTGCCTGACTTGGAATAAATATTTGACAAATTAATTCATTAATCTCTTAAGACCAAGAGCAAAGTGAAATGGCTATGTGCTTAACTAATCCTTTTGACTCTCTCCTTGGAAAATACACTAGTGTTCGTACCCACTTAAAGAAGAGGGGGAGGGCGCTGGAATCTGGGTCCTGCAAATCTAGGCCCTAACCCTATTCCCTCTTCCCTATAGAGGGAATATAAGGGCTGTGCCAACACTGAGGCAAGTTTAAACACTCATATTCACTGTGGAGTACCCACTGATACATGGTCCGGTCACCTCAAGACAAGTTTGACTTGTAAGGACCCAAAGTGATTTCAGGTGACAGTGGAAGCACAGATTGATGGAGGGTCCCTGCTCAGAGACAGACAGGTCGGATCCACTGACCAAATGATAGAGAGAGACTGCTTAGGGTAAACAGGGACCTGTATCCAGCTAAGGCCATAGGAAGGCTGATGGTCTCTCTGTTTGGGTGTTAAGAAAAGCCATTAGGCCTTCCAAGCCCCTTCCGGATTTCCTTATAATGACTTGGAATACCCCACAGCTGTTTTTTGCAAGGAAGAAAAAAACAGGAAACCAATGCTCCACAATTTCACACTGAGATTTGAAGGTAAACTGAAAATTTCATCAAAATTGCATTTCATACTTGGTAAACCTCAAGCAAACAGAATACTAAAAATACCACCTGTTTTCTCTTCCTCTCCCCAAGGTACCATTATGATAACTTGACACAGGATGGAAAACAGACTTACCAGCTTCGATGCATTCTGGCTTCAGGCAGTACTCCTGTTTAGCTTGGAGACTTAAGAAACCTTGACTCACTGAAAAAACAGACCAAAATAAAGAAATGACTGGCTTGTAGCAGACCACCGTCAGGTAACCCACAGTCAGGCACATATGTTAGACATCTGATATCAGTTCATCCTTCTCAGCATTGACATGGAGTTCAAAAATCCAGCTGGCTCAGTATCACCCAACCAGACTCCGGTCACAAGATAAGTAACCTTGGTGAGACTCGCTGCTCTGAAATTGGGTTCTCTAGAATATGAGTGGATACAATCAGACCAGTGCTTCTCAGAGTGGGATGCCCAGGCCTCGGGAGCAGCATCCCCTGGCAGCTCTTTAGAAAGATAAATTACTGAGCCCTATCGCTGACCTGAATCGGAAAGTCTGGGCGGTGGCGGGGGGCGGGGGGGGGGGGGGCGAGCAGCCATCTGCATTTTTGCAAGCCCTCCAGGTGATTCTGATGCACACTCAAGTTTGAGAGCCACTGGGCTAGATGATCTCTAAAGTCTCTTCCATCTCCAATTATCTATGATTTAAGTCTCATAATTTCACTCTATTTACAACTACGTTCCTGTTTTAGAGATGGGGATAAAATGAAACTTACAACTATGTCATTTGGAGTAAATCCAGACTGGAAGGAGAAAAAGAGCATGTGTGGCATTTAAAGTTCTGAATCTTATCTAAACCGTCCATAGATGTGGGGGGGGGGGTTACACAGTCATCTAGCAAGAGAGTCATGATACACCCTGTACCCCACACACCCTCCTCCCACCAAGCTCAGCCTAGCTACCAGACAGATGTGGCTGGTGGACCAAGCTTCCAACTACTTCCACTAGAACAAAACAAAACAAAAACCCTGCGAGATGGAATTAGCTTTTCACCAAGGGCTTAATTTTCCCAATCTGGCTAGCAATATTATCTAAATGGATTTCTGCAGAAGTACAGAAGGGTGCCCTATTTGTAAACTCCAGGCAGCACCTGGGCATTAGTAGATGTGAGTTTAGATTTCAAAAATATTTTTGGTAGCCAAGGAAGTTAACAGAAATTCATTATTGCTGTACTCTGTGAGCAGAAATAAGGAATCATTTGGAGATGTGGCCGTGGGGAGATGGATGGTGGGGAGTGAAGGGGAGCCAAGGCCTTTTGTGGCATCCTCAGCTGAGAAGCAGGGTAAGAAAGCACAGCGGTACCTATATTTCTGCTAGAGATGGAAGACCTGTATATCTCTTGCCAGTATGGCAATTTGTACTTTTTATTAACCCACATTCTAAGAGGAGACTGCTTTTTCTTTGTTCCTTTCTCTGCTGCCATCCTCCAAACAGCCTTTTTACTTGTGTTACATTACAGATATAAGAAAATTGCCAATGGAACATCTCAGGTCTGTTTTTAAGAAAAGAAGTATCTTAGGTGTGCCTGGGTTTCTCAGTCGGTTGGGCGTCTGACTCTCGATTTCGGCTCGGGTTGTGATCTTGGGGTCGGGGGATCAAGCCCTGCATCAGGCTCCATGCTCAGTGGGGAGTCTGCTTCTCCATTTCCCCCCCACCGCCACTTGCTCTCTCTCTAAAGTGGATAAATAAATCTTTTTTTAAGATTTTATTTATTTATTTGAGAGAGGCAGAGAGAGCGAGAGAGTGGCAGAGAGGAAGAGGGAGAAGCAGACTCCCCACTGAGCAGGGAGCCTGATGCGGGGCTCCATCCCAGAACCCTGGGATCATGACCTGAGCCGAAGGCAGTTGCTTAACCGACTGAGCCACCAGGCGCCCCTGAATAAAAATATCATTTAAAAAAGGAAAAAAAAAAAAAGGAAAACCTTAGCATAAAGGTGTTTTGATTTCTTTAAAGAGCAAAGTTAGATAAAAATATAAACATGCAGCATAAACATTAGTACTGAATATTTCATTATGCCTGTGTGATGGAACCATGGGGGACATATTCCCTTCAGTCTACCTCTATATGTTTACCAAATGTTCTTTAATGAGCCTGTATTATTTTTTATAATGGAAAAATAAACTTTATTATAAGTAATACTGTTATGATTCCGGACAGTACCATCTTGATACTAGCCTTATTTTTTTTAAAAAGCTAATGAGGAGCGCCTGGGTGGCTCAGTCAGTTGGGCGTCTGCCTTTGGCTCGGGTCATGGTCCCAGAGTCCTGGGATCAAGCCCCGCATCGGGCTCCCTGCTCTGCAGGAGGCCTGCTTCTCCCTCTCACACTCGCCCTGCTTGTGTTCCCTCTCTCACTGTGTATCTGTCAAATAAAGAAATAAAATCTTTAAAAAAATAAAAATAAAATAAAAATAAAAAGCTAATGAAATGTTTAGTTTAAGGAGTTATTGCTTTCATAGAAAAGAATTCTTGACCCAACCCTCTAAGGAAGCAGAACTAGATATCTTTATCTGAATATGAGTAAAAAGGAGGTTTAAATTAAATTGGGATGCAGACAGACCTAACCCCTTGAGGAAGAGCATTATATCCATGGGGAGTGGGGTTAAGATCCTGCAAATAAATAAGAATCAACAGGACCAGATAATGTGAAGGTGTGGGTGAATGAAATTGGGACAACAAGGAGAATATTTTTTATATAAAAAATGAAAATGTTACTTTTTACTGGTTAGGTGCTTTAAAAAAAGGAGCAGTTTGGTTTCTCATTTTAGATTTTTCTTTTTTTTTTCTAAAGATTTTATTTATTTATTTGACAGAGAGAGATAGTGAGAGCAGGAACACAAGCAGGGGGAGTGGGAGAGGGAGAAGCAGGCTTCCCGCTGAGCA